AATTTTAATTTTCATGAAAATCTCACCGCCAGGAAAACACAGTAAGTCCAAACTGTAATACAACCAGATGGGTACCAAAAAAACAATTCCTAGCTACATGTACTACTTTTGTCTTTTGCGTCTGTCAATGGTTCTTTATTTTTGTTGGAGGTAGGCTACTGAACTCTGCAAGTTTCATACATGCATTCACCGAACCCTTTAGTTGGGTAAACGGGGCACACACACAAACACAGAGTGCATTTGTGTCTTGACTTCCACTGAACCCACGACACTGACCCACAGAACCCCTGGGGATTCATTGAATCCAGGTCAAGAACCTCTTGTCTAAACTGTTTACCATTTCACATAACAATCCATTGGAGGATACATCGTCTTCGTTTATCAATCACTTGCAAACCTCAAGATTTATTGAGAACTTCAGTCACAACAACCTGAGGCTCCAAGCTTCATGCATCATTACTAGGACCTGTAGCAGGACTACTGCTAGCTAAAATGCTAAAACTAACATCCAGATGCAAGGCTCACAAGACAGATGTAAAAATGCAAAGTTAGGAAAACCAATTTCTAGACATAGACTTCTTGAAACTTGTAAATAAACCCATCCAAAGACTAAGCTATTTCTTTCCAAGTATCCAAAGAATGGGTATGGGACATCTCCAGACTAAGTTGTGAGTCCTCTCATAACAATCTTAATTAAGAGTTTAGGAAATTTATTAAACTTGAAATAAACAACACAAACAAGAAAAAAGTTGAAATAACATTTTTTTTCCTCTTTTCAACCAAAAAAACACACACAACTTCATGTAATTGCTGTGAACACATTCCATAATGTCACTTTCTAATCGAACCCTAAAAATATGCTTGACACAAAAGGAAGTAGGAAATAATATAAACCTCTTTCTAAAAATACAAGCATATGTGCATATTAATTATTATCAAGTGCATGAAATCAATGCTAATAAAAAAAAAATAAGTTGAAGTTACAACGGCTCAATGATTAGCACAAAAGATAAAATAACTTGGAGCAAAAAAATTTGACCCATTCATAGCAATCATAATCTGGAATCGTAAGAAAATCTCTATAACAGGATGTGAAACATGTGAACAGGGCAGAAATGGAGACTGACCTGAAACTACTAAAGATACTGAAAGTATCCAGACCCACATTGGTCCATATACAATATTACCCTTAGTTTTAAAATGATATCATGAAATACCATAATGTAAATGTGACGAAATGCTGCTCCTAAATACATGTAAAAGGTAGCAGTTTTCTGCTTTGAGTCTCACATCCTTCACAAGAAAATCAAAGGAGTGAAGAAGCGTCCAACCAACTCAAACATTATGAAGACACTGTCCAAGATGTCCACTTAACTAAGACAACCACTTTTCTCCTCCACAAGGGGTGGCCATCTTGGACAAATTCCACTATTTAGAAATCTCTCAAAGAAAGAAAGCAACACTATAAATATACACATGTTGAAAGACAGCATACAAACAGAACATGGAAGGTAAACGTGACAGCTACTGTAGGAAATTTGACAAAGAATTTGCTAGTGTGCAGGAAAAGAAAAATGGAATTAAAGATTTTTTCACTGTCTTGGAAACATTTTCCCTCTCATCCCAATATTCTGACTAAGAGCTAAAGAGCCAACTGCTTTAATTTGTATGCAAACAAAACACAGAGTAGGGAGATAAACTTCTAAATTTATCAAAACAAAACAAAAGTAAAAATTGAAGACAGAGCAACTTTTATTGGCTTGGATCACTGCATTCAACAGCCAATTTGTGGTGTCCAGTTTTGACTCTGTACACGGACAAAAACCAGCTGAAACACTAGAGGAAACAGTGCCAAGTCTTTAGTATGTAACACATTAATGGACCACTGAGATGCAAAACGACAGAAGACGTTCCTGGTATCTATGGTTAAGGGTTCGGTTCTCTACCTTCTGTGAAAAAGATGTGAGATCAATTCTCGTACATGCAGAAGACATATTTTTGAATACTTCTACCTTTCAGTTAGGACGTACCTCATGCAGCTCAGGTTAGCCTTTACAGGCATGGCTGAAGTAAACAGCACCAGAAATTATTTAAACAATGTTGACGAGGGTATATAATATACCAACAACAAACTGACAGTTAGGAATCACCTTTGGAAAGGAAACAAAAAAGAACAAAGTAAGACTTAAAACTCAGATGAACAACTTCATACTTCACACCTCTCCTGTTAAAGTCAAATCTACAATCAGCTTTTGGGCCTGAACTAATCCTGCAGCTAGCCAACCTATTAGAAACCTTTCCTTTCCTCAAATGTGGCCACCTGTCCTGACCTTCTCCTAACAGATGGTCATTAGTCTGATGTACTTCAGCCACCAACTTGCGACAAAAGCTTTCTGTGACAAATTTCAAGAGAAACCTGTAGGCACTGACACTTTTTGCCGGAGAACTGCCAAGATTTGCCCACAAAGGATAAACAGTAAAATCTTAAAACAAAGCAAATACGACATGATGTTTGTGGCGAGCACATGTAACATAATGTACTTATCACAATAAGGTACCTTGATTTTCTCTGTTGCAACGCTGATCATAAAAAAAAAAAAAAAACATTTCAGTTCAGACAACTTTTTATTTTATCTTCTGAAGACAGGAAAAAGATGACATCTTATAAAATATTACGGTGCAAGCCCAATGTTCCAAGAATTCAAATCCCAAGAAACATTTCATCACTTTCTCTTTACTTTCTAGAACTGCATGTATAGGAGTGATTGTGTTTGTGCATTTATATGTGATGAGAATATTCTCTTCAGAGGAATGTGATGTCTGAGTGGGAAAATGTTGAAAACTAGAAGCTGCAAACTTTATCAGTTTATACTGAGAATATGAAAAGAGAGAAGACATTTGTGTTATGACGCGGTAGAATTAGGCGCTCGTCAGTTTTTGGGCATCTCCAGTTCTGATATTATCTTAAGGGGGCTCGCGGGTCGGGTCTAAGGCCTCAGGTACTGATTTTTTCTGCTCCCTCATTCAGTCTAGACTTTATTGACACTATTCACTGAGTGAGTAACATTAACAGAAGTCAATTCTACGTTGTGTACTAACATTTTCCATCACATTTTTTCACTACTTTTTGCAAGATCAAATTCAATATCCCCAACTTTGAGAACAATTTTGGATACTTTCTAAGTATAGTATCAAAAATCAAAATAGCCAGCTGCAAGCACCTATTCATTTGTGACATTTTGCAAGTCACAGAATGTTAAAAAGTTAAAAACTGTAGAAATGGTGGAGAAAAAAAAATTGTCTGTCCAATTTTCAAGATGGCCACCATTTCCATGGCAACGGCTTACGTAATCGAGTGTGTCAACAGTTGAACAAGAATCTTTTGTGTCATACTTACTGCCTGTGACAAAAGTTGTTTCAGTTTGCCTTTAGTTTAAAAAGTTGTCCCGTATCTATCGAGCCCCCTTAAAGTTAAAGCATGTCATTTGACCATGTTTTGATGATAAAAATACACACCTATCTTGAATAGAAGTTGAAATATTTACGATTGAATGAGCTCGGGGTCCCCTAGTTTCAGAGGTAAAATAGCAAGAAAATGTTCGCCAAAGTTTTGTAATTTCCAAAGCTTGAGAGTCCTTAGAAAATGAAAATCTATGTTTGTTGTGCCTTTAATCCATGTTTTCCAGTAAAATCCACACAGAAATATGTTTTTAAATGGACATAAAGGGTGTTGAGTCAAAACACAAAAATTAGGGAAAAATTGTCAAACTGGAGGAAAAATGCCGATGTATTCGATTTCATTATTTTGACGAGCACCTGATTTCACCACGATGCCTCACATTTGTTAGTTGAAAAACTCATTGACATCACGCCGTATAGATCTATATGTGTACAGCAGTTAGCATTGACTATTAATAATAATACCAGCAAACAAGGAATGCCATTGTTATTTACATTTGTTCTTTGACTAGTCTAGAGTAATTCTCTGTAGGTCTTGGAACTCTTCTTTGAAGAAACAGGTCTTTTTTTGTACAATTTCCTGTAGTAAAAATCAAGACAAGGAATATAACCCTGTTTTCGCTGTGTCATAAATGTAAACAAAAGCCCCTATTTGTATCACACACTGTGTCTACATGTTTTTCTTCTCTATTTGTATGTCGTAACTGTCAAATAATCACCTATATGATGACTATGAGGATCCGGTGTTGCGTCTATAGAGACCTAAAAAAAAAAAATGGTTTTTGCCCCCAAATAAGCATTTTCAACTAATGATAATATTTTTTTGGATGATCCTACCGAAAAGATTTCTATGTATTCCCTCCCAGCTGGAAATAGGTCAAAATATTGTGACAAACGGTGCTCGCACTAGGTAGGGGCTTGCAACTTCAATAAGTTTAGACTCTGATATCCTCAACAGCGTCTGTTTTATTAAACCCTATCCATTCTGTACCACCCCAGGGGTTGTATTCTTCACATATTAGAATACTTCTAGCGTGAAGATCTCTTTGAAACTTTCAGTATTTCTCATAAAATCCTTTTGACAGACTGCTATGCAAAGCATACAGATCGGATTAACGAGTAAATTTCCTCTTCGGAAAGTGGGTGTACAGAGTTCCGTACATCGTATTCGTATGGATACAATAGTAAAACATGACATAAGGATATGGTTAATTTAACAATCAACTCAATTAGCGCACCGGAGCAAACGCAATTCAGTGCAAAGCAAAGTCAAAGTAACAGTTTCCAGAGGCCTGTGCTTCCTTCAGATACAACTCGTTAAAAGTTCATACTTGATTATGCTTTGTAACATGATGGTGATAGTTATTTGGGCAAGTCAGAACAAGATTATTATGATCACATCGAGCATAATTTATGATATTGACTGTACATCTGAACTACCATCGGGCACAGTGATGTTTATAGGAGCACCTAGGTCCTGTAATTCAGCATGAATGCGATATTTGGTCATCCTTACTTGCTAAACCCCAAACTGCAATTTGTTTTTTTTTTCTCATCATGATAAGACAGTTCCCCTTACCTTCTTCCCCCTAACACAAGCACAGCTGGGCTCCCAGCTGGTATTCAGATAAATATTCTGAATTGAAGAGAACACATTGCCCACTCCAGGAATACATTCATTTATGTACAGTATTTATCCTGGACGAAATATAGTCGCAAAACACACTGCAGTTAAGGTGTTGAACACAGAGCAGACCTACTGCCCCCTCTTGTTACATCAAGAACAAAACATAGTGAACTGTATTCATTAACATCTTTACAGTGCAGCAAAAAACAAACTTTTGAAACACATTCGCTCTAACAGACTCAAATGACCATGCCTGTTCCCACAAATTCACAGTGATGTTGTTATCGATACATTCGCAGTGATCATTACACTGGAATTCACCCTTACCATAACATTTGTTTTACAGTTGTGGCTAGAATAGCAGTAATAACAAATCAATGATGTAAATGTTCTATTCACGAACAGAATAAAAACTTTACCCAACACGCATGGTTAAAAATTCAGGCATGAAGCTTTGTTTCCAATTTTTGTTCCATAAGGGTATCGTTTAGGTTTACAGGCTCTGACACCACTTAAGCTTTTGCGCTATACATCACAACAAAACCTTGACCCACAAACATTTGACAGAGTATTTACATAGCTCAATCAAAAGAACTTTCCCACAGAAGTTATATATAATACTACAGCTCATGGCAGAGACGTCACACGCGTTACACATGGGGGTGCGCCCCTATTTACATGAACAATCTGAGCCCCCCTCCCGCTCCCAAAGAGCTCTAGTATATTAAATACCACCCTGCCCCCATATTTCAGTGCAAGCTTGTAGACTTCCTCCTTAGATTGCCGTGATGCTTCCAAGAGATTCTCTAAAAGTACTCACTCGTCTGTTAAACTGTGCATGTCTTGCCCTTGAGGTTCAGTGTCCCAGTATGAGCACACGCAGCCCCCGTTCATTTACATGGGGGACATCGCTGCCACTAACTCTAGTACTAAATTTAACCTCTTTGAGCTTACGTTAAGATAGGTGCTGGACTAGTTCTATATTTCTAATTCTGGTCTTTTTGCTGGGATCATTTCCATACAATACACAAAAAAATGTACTCTCAAAACGGTCTTGCGGATATATTTTACTGCACCATATTATTTTTGTTGTCTTATAATCAAGGTTTCTTTTTCTAACACTTGATAACAAAGAATTATCAATACTATAATTATCATATTTTTTCAGAAATGTCTAGAATACTCATATAACCATCTTTTACCAATGCTGACTTGCCAACAGTCTTTACAGGTAGTGATTTACTTTGAAAGTGAAGTCACCACCCACGAGGAGAGGAAAACTTTAATCCCCACCCCCCGTGTCTGTTCACACAATAAAAAATATCTTTGGCCAGCTGCTAAACTGCACTAAGCCCAAAAATTTGTCTTTTTACTGCAATTTCTAAATGTGGCATCCGTTGCATGTGCTCATGAAATATTCTGTTGAGATTTTAATTCTTAATGTTGAAAAAAGAAAGAAAAAATACATAATGTTGGTACAAGAATGAAAGTTTTTTCCTCTCCTCTGTAAAATTTTACTTTCTGGGCATAATACATTTTAACAGCTTTCCCACGATATCTGATGGACATTCAACAGGCACAACAGCGATTCACTTGAATGAATCAAAACCTGACTCTCCTATTGCACATTCACTCATATATTTTTGACTTCGACATGAGCCTATGCAGATACCACACCAGCTTTCTAAGGGAATGCCACAAAGTACAATGAGACCTAATACTCTTCTGCCCATGGGTTCTCCTCTAGATAAGCATCAATGACTTCCTTCAGGGAAAAGTTGGGTATGAGCTGCTCCTGTGTCAAGTCTGTTCTTGTCACCGGGTCAAAATGACCCACACGCTGAAAGATAAAATTTAAAAATACATAGCACTTTTCATAAAACTCTGGATTACAAGATTCACCCTAATTAGAGAGGAAAGCTTGTTTGTGCATTTTTTGTGTTGTAAATGATTCATCACACAGTGCCAGAGACAGCATCAACAGTAATCAAGTTACAAATAGTTGTGTCTCTTTAGTTTAAATTCTTAGATCAACTTTATAGTTTTTCTAAAAGTCTTGACTTATGTCCCTTTGTTTACCGCGCCTCCTCTAAGTGTGTGTATACATTGGTTTTTGTTTTATTTCAGGCAAATTATAAGCTCAGAAAGGAAAACAAGACAGATCCCAGTCAGAGATGAGATAGGAAGAAGGCGGTGGCGACGGATTGGACATACTCTCAGGAAGTCAGGCAGCTGCATTACAAAAAAAGTGTTGGATTGGCATCCACAGGGTAAGAGACCAAGGGGAAGACCATGTGGAACCTGGATAAGAATCACAGAAATTGATGTACAGAAAAGTGGGAAGACATGGAATAACATCAAGAGGCTAACTCACGATAGAGAAAGGTGGAAGTGTTTGTCTGTGGCCTATACCCTAGTGCAGGGTGAGAGAGGCAATGATGATGATCAGTGCTTTCACCAGCTGAAGCTGAAAAGTAAGGAAAATTCTGTCGGGGGTCTGCCCCAGCAGGGTCCAGGGACAGCGTCCCAGTGGGGGTTCATGGGGCCAAGCCCCCGAAGAAATTGAAATTTAGGACTTTCAGAGGGTTGAAAACGGCATTTGGGAGCCTGTTTGAAGAGGTTGCCAACAACCCATACTACCTATTTTTTCACCAAGATTTTGTCTTGTTTGATTTCTTCACCAACATATCTTTCCTTTGCTGGCAATGTTTAAAAGCAGGTTCCCTTTCATTGTTACTATAATTCAATTAATTTGTCATCGCACCGTTGATACTAATAGAAGGCAAACCTTGGAATAATGAATAGATAGGTACCTTCACAATAGAGTTACCAGACTTGCCATTCTATGAAACCTCAAAATCAGGATTTCAGGGAGAAAAAATCTGGATTTGGTGAAAAAAATTGGGATCAACAGCAAATCACCCAGGTGACTGTCAAAGCTGACATAAAAATTTTCCAGGGGTGTCCATAAATTACTGGGCCTATATGCCCTCTGTGTGTCTTTGTTTGTGTGTGTGTGTGTGTGCGTGTGTGTGATCATTATTTTTTGTAAATCCTGAAGCATCACGTCAAGCACTCCTAGTCCAAGTGTCCATACCCCCCCCCCCCCACCAATAAGCAATAAGTCCCGAAATACATGAACTTAGGTTGACCCCGTCAACAGACCGTCCCCGACACGCAGAACTCACACGGCGATGTCATGTCACGAAATGCGAAGGCACGATTGAAACAATTTTACTAACGGGTCCGAACTGCGCGTTCATACCGAACACTCGGATGGCCAATGACCAAATACCAACAAATCTCTTATCCCTCATAAGGCATTCAGACTAAAGCAACGACAACGGCCGTATGTTAGTCTTGTCAGCGCATTTACATGTAGTTGTGTAAAGGTTAGAAAGACTGTCGCTCGTCCGAGTGTTTGATGTGAACGCGCAGTTACCAGACCTCGGACAAGGCTTGTTTTGAAAGTAACAGTGGAACTACGAATATTATCGATTATTTGTATGTCCCAAATTGTAACAGTTACCAGGCTATCATCGGAGAATTCTGAGCGCGGGTAAAGATCACACACAACTTGGGGCGAGTCAACAACTACTACTAAATGTGGCATCAATATTTCGGGAAATAGTGCTCCGAGTTCCTACAGACAAAAAGTTCAACGGGTGCTTCCTACGATAAAGGAGAAAGCAGAGTAAGTTTTCAGAAAAATCCGGCACAACAGCAGACTGGGACAAAAAATCGGGATAAATGCGATCGAAATCAGGAAAATCGGGATGCTTGACATTTGGGGCAAAAAATCGGGATACATGAGTGGCAGGTCTGAAGTTGCCCAGCGTATACCCTAATTTTCCTCAATTTTCACGTCTGAATGTCACATGTCACAAACTTCGGAACACCACTTCGAATTATTCTTGATTTTAGTAGTTTTAGAACAAATTTCTTTCATTGCCGCCGCTATCGCGTTTCCGTGCCGTAGAATCTTCGCACTGATAATTTCCCTAGATCTATACAATAAATTTGCAAAAAAGTTTCTTTCTGACAGTAATTTTCTGTCTAAGATCACATGTCAATATACTTGATCAACGCGCATTTTCCAGCCACGGCAACAATCCGAAGATAGACAGACGGATTGAGGGAATGATAGAAAGGAGGAAAGTCGCACTAAAAGTTCGCCAGATTTTGATCAATCTGCAGGTAAAAAATGCAAGGCCGACCAACCCGCACTGAATGCATGGGGCATAGCGAAATAATGGCCGATTGCAGGAAATGCGCAATCTGGCAGGTTTCTATAACATAAACTATTGCTGAGAGAATTACCGTAAATATCCGTAACTTATACAAGACGATATGAAGGTGAGTACGGATCTTTTGCTACGGAATTTCGGTAGTCATTCGCTGTCGCAGATTTTTACAGAGGGAGTTGATAATGATGGAGGAACAAGTACGGAACTAGCAGAAAGTATGGATTTCTGTAAAAATACGGAAGAGTGGAAGCACTGAAGATGACAAGCTCAGAAGGAAAGCGTAGTGTTTGTTCAAACTTGAGTGAAGACAACCAACAACAATGGGTGGACTTTCATCCCTCTACCCTTTCACTACAATTGCTTTATAAAAATGTTCAAAAAATGGTGAGTCGTGAACTTGTATGCAGTATGCTTCTTTCTGAGTGTCAATATTGAATATCATTTAATTAAATCTTAACCCTTTGAGCCCTAGCCACCGGTACACTGGTGAGTGGGACTCCATCCCCAACCAGGCCTGCCTTAGAAAAAAACTAGTGCGGAAAATATGGCTCAGGCAAAGGGGCAGGGTAGCCTCAGGAGGTCAGGGTTCAGAGGGTTAATACTGACCTGTAGATGTTCTATTATGTCCTTTTTGTCATAGGTGATGCCACATGGAGTGATGACTGGATCCCGCATGATTTCAAAACTGATTTTACCACATAAACAGTCAGGGACATCACGTTTCTGAAACAAATAGGAATAATGGAAACGTTGCCACAAAAGTTATTTAATGAACCCTTTCATTTCCTAACCAGTTCCATACCAGAAAAGCACTTTGCTCACAAGAAATATCATGATAGATTAAAAGATCATTTTCTCTAGAAGAAATGTATGAAAAACTTTGAAAAGTGTTCTCATCAAAATAGCAGAGAGATTTCCACAGCAAAAATCTTTCTTTCAAAATCAAAGACATTCTCTTTCATAACTTCAAGCTGAATTCTTTTTCACACAACCCTCTCAACTAAAGCAATTTCAGCACATTGCCTTGGTTATATTGCACAATGTACTAACTGCTGTTCTAACGAGCAGACCAACTACAATGACTGGCTGATCACAAAGCAAGATTATTCTCTGTGTGCCCAGTGAAGCACATATTGTGAACTTCACATCTATCAAATTTTAACTGAGAATCACTGAAACCTCACCAAAAAGAAAACCCATGAGAGCGAGGATATAGTGTGCTGGTGAGGATGAGGGAATGGGAGACAGTGAGGTAGGAAGAGATGAAGGGGAAAAGAAATTACTTGTACAAGAAAAGATCAATATTATTGTCTTCATTTTTATTGTTTTCTCATCTTTGTTACTTTAACCAGTGATAATAATCATTTCCCATGAAGACAAGAAACATCCTTCGTAAATATATCTATTTTATCTTCTCACTTTTCTTCTCTCATCCAGCTGGGAGAATAAACTGTTAACTTCCGATATCCTTTTGCTCTGTGGAAATACACAAAACAGAAAGAGGAGGGATAAAATGAAGCCATAGAAATAATGTGTCACGACGCAGTATAATCAGGCGCACGTCAATTTTTGGGCATTTGGAGTTATTGGTATCATCTTAAAGCTTGTTCATTTGACCATCTTTCGAAGACAAAAATTCATGCCTATCTTGAATAAAAGTGGAGGTATTTGCGATTGAAGGAGGTCGGGGTAGCCTGGTTTCAGGGGTAAAATTAGTGAGAAAATGGATCCCAAAATTTGGTGATTTTTAAAGTTTGAGAGTCATATGAAACTGAAAATTTACATATTTTGTGTCTTTAATCAACGTTTTTCAGTAAAATCCACACAGAATTGTGTTTTTAATTGGACAGTAATGGTGTTAAGCCAAAAAACAAAAATTTAAAAAAAATTGCAACTGGAAGAAAAAAGACAGTTTCTTCAATATTATTTTAACGAGCACCTGATTTCACCAAGCTGCCTCACATATACTCACACATTACTCACAAGTACATATGCCAGGAGTGCTGTCCCCTGCCCAAATAAATTTGAGAGCATCCAAATGCAAGCAAAATTTTGTATGCCAGGGCATAACAGTAAAAAAAAAAGGGAGTTATGGATTACCTGTGAAATTCTTCTCCATTTCAGTCAACAGTCTATCAGTTTCTCTAATCCAAAACCTTTTCATTACAAATCTTCACTGACCACACATACGACCAGGCCCTCTTTTAACACCATCCGGCCCTCTCATAGGTCTAGATCTATCTCCCATACAGTGTATCTCTAGGGAGGTTCCTTGTTGAGGAAACTGTCAAACTTTCACCCCTGCCACTGCCATCTGAAGGACAATACACCTCTATCTAATATGCACTGAGGTAATCAGAATCAGTACTATTGTCAATATCTTTTCCCAGCCATCCTTTTCCATTACTTATAAGCTCATTCAATACCTCTCAGCTATGTGGGATCACTTTGCCATCACTCCTGTTGTTTTTTTTTACAGTTTGGTAGGAATTTATTTTGAATTTTGCGTGGGTGGCAAACCTGCTATTCAGACACACTGAGCTACATTCAAATAAGTACTAAAACTGATGTTAGGTATCTTACAGAGTCTCCCCCCCTCCACCTTTCCCTTTGCAAGATAAAATATCGCAATTCACTTTTTACAGACCTCACTTCATTCAAACAGGGAATCCTCTTATATGTGAACAGCCGAGGACAAAATGTGAGCAAAGAGAACCCCATGCACAATACGAAATGTGTTATTTAAATCTCAACATCGAACTCCATTATTGGTCAAGACCAACAAAAATAATTTTGAATTTTCTGTTCAACATTTTAAAAAGTCTAACATCCTATTTAAAAAACCACAAAAACCCCCCACCTATTTTGGTGGGAAAATAAAATGAGGACACCACTAGAGTACTTGTAGTTTTAGTAGAGGTATTATGCACGGCGCCACTTTTCGCCCGATTCTGTTACCTTTTGTTAGCGTGACTCAGCAGCTCGCCGGAGCTCCCCGGCTTGGGGTCACGCGGTTAATGAGCCCTGAAGCGACTTGGACGGTATCGGTTAAGAAGTTCAAATTTTTGTCTATGTTTGAAATGATATAACTTCTTCCCCATTCTACACAGCAAACCATTATGCGGATGTACTAAAAGCTCAATGTCTTGAGATTTATTCTGCGTTTGAATGGTTAATTTCTGTGCCTTAGTTTTTGTTCTAGACAAGAGTTTGTAGAGTAACCAATTTGTCCTATTTTAGTTACATACTTAAAAAATGATTGTTTTTTAAAACAGCACGACAGATCTCTCCAAAATCAGTGTTAAAACTGACTATGAATATCATGTCTTTTACCATGGGAAATCTTAAATCTGCGCAAGTAGAAATAGTCAAGTTATAAGAGAAAAAAGATGCACATCTGCATTCTTTAACTGAAGACACTCAGCTCTTGTTCTACCATTTAACAAGAGAAAGTTACTCTGCGTTTGTTCATGAATCATGCTGTGTCTGTGGCAGCCTGCATACAACTAACAAAGATATATTATGTGATTTTCAAAAAACACAAAACTGTGTTAATAAATGGGTAGAGATGCACTTCTTGTTTGGAATAAAAATAATAACAACTAACACATTCATTCTTAGTTCTTGTGTCGGACATCTGCGCGGACACTTATGAATGTAAAGCGATCAGAACATTGTCAGTTATTGCAAATGATCATAGCAACTAAAATAAAAGCTGGAAAAGTCTGGTGCTGATTCAGTGTCACTGGAAAGCTAAAAGTTATTCATATAACATAATTACATGAAGCCTGCCCTGCTATTCAGTCAACTTACAAAACTTAGACATAGCGTATTTTAAAAAATAAGGAATTTATCGAATGTAACAGATACTGTTCGTGTATTACATTGTAGACGTATTCTGGCACTAAAATCGGTTTGTACTTTTTTATAGAGACTTCAGGGTCATTTTGAGAAACTTTAGAGAAAATATGCGAATAGTCATGATTATATTAGACACACAAAGTTGTATTTGGAGGAATTACTTCAGAGCGAATTCTGTACCAGATGGATAAAGTTGTAAAAATGACAGCTTCCTATTATATGCGCAGATACCATATTTTTTGAGTATCTGCACCAACTTTATGGCATTCATGTTCCAAACGTTTGACAGTTTTTGTAGTGCCCTTTTTTTTATATTGATTTTTTTTCATTCACACTTGTCCAAAAAATTTTACAATTTAGCATTGCCGACTTCAGCGTGTCAAATGAAATAACCAGACAAGTTACAATGTCCGTTCTTTTTTTAGTCTCAAGAGCAGAAATGCGTGCTTTGGGTGCATTAAATAATTACCATAAATACAAGGATACACCTAAAACTGTACATTGAAAAGTATCAAAAATCAAGTCAGCCCAGATAGAGCGGCAACAGGGAGCTGACCCCCATGACCCTGACGTGATAAGGCACTCGGCGGAGAACCCCCTGCTATAACTAAAATCCCACTGCCAGTGCGCCGTGTATGATGCTCGCAGCTGCATAAGGTCATATGAGCGTCAAGGGGTGGATGTCAACAGAGAAGTCCTTATAGGGAATCAGGCTTACTCAGCTCACCTCTCTAGCTTCAACAGCACAAAGTCTGCTTCGACTATCAAGGCACATCAGAAATAGCAGTTCACAAGAGTGTGACAAACATACAACAGAAGTAGAGGGAAAATGACCATAGTAAGGATTAGGAAAGAAAAAAGCAGCAGTTCCCTGTTGCAGTTCAGGCACAGTTATGAGCATGACATTGATGAATCAGCCCAATTTCAATTCTACTGTGCATAAGAACATCTTTTGGGAATGGCCTAAAGACACTTCAGTCAGCAGCACCGCCCCAGGGGGTTACTACAGTACAATTTTGATAGCAAGATAAAATCTGGAAAGAAGTTGAACAGTACACCAAAGTCAATATCAGACATATGAACCAAAAATGACACTGAACTTGAAATAACAGATGTTGTTGAATGATGTGATAGGACTTTTTAGTACATGTAAAGATGTAATGTGCAGTAAACTTTGCTTATCTCACAAACAGTGAAAAAACCCAGCAAACTAAGACTTATATCTCAGACAGTATTGGAGGAACATCTCCCACCCTTTTAAATTTAGACAAGACAAAAGCAATACACAAGAGCACTGAGCATGGAAATGACAATGTAAATCTTGAGTTGTACCCCTTGCTACTTACATTTTTAACCTTAACACTTTGCCATCACAAGGCTCAGATAGCAAAAACTCTTGTTATCAAAGGCAAAGGCATTTTCGGGAAAATCCAAAAAAACTGGGCGGTAAACATCACCGATCGGCGAGATGTGATAGCAAATTGTTAAAACATGAAATAAAAAAAAAACCCATTGAAACTCACAGCTTCCTCACACAAACTTTCCACATCTTCATTTTCTGCCATCCCATTGTCCTCTTTCAAAGCTTCTAATCGTCTGTTTGGAAAAAAAGAAAATCACCATGTACTTAGTATAGAATAGTCATGTAATTATTCATTACATTCCTAAAGAATAAATGGTTACCAGAGACTATTAAAGTTGGCTTAAGGTTGAGAGATTTCTAAAAGAATAAAAAAGGTTAGAGTGGGCTTCACTAAGCAAATGAGAAAAAACAGATGAGATAAATGAAACTACGTAAATTTTTCTTCCCTTAAGCTTAACTGTCCTTGTCGATTAAATTATATCTCAAGGGAACAGTGGACTTATTCAACCCACATGATGACTCCATAAACAGGACACTTTTCCTAAAAGAATTAAATTAAGAGTTGCTACCTTTTGAGCAAACAAAAGCCAATTACCAAGGCTGCTTTTGATTCCTTTACTAGTGAGAGGTACCATGGATTTTACAATAAAGATAATATAGTATAGCAGACATATAGTGAAATCAGTAGGACACGGAAATCTTTTCGCTATGTATGTTTTAAATACAAAGAACATACTGTGGAGTCCCCTTAAACTGAACAATTTTAATCCAGAAACAGTAGCAACCAAAAGAAAAGAAAATTTTTTACTTTTCCCTTGCTATTTGAGCAACATCTCTACACCGAAAAAAATATCCTGATCCTGCAGATTTCGGTTTAAGCGGACTGCACAGTACATGTATAAAAAACAACAACTGGGGACCTAAAAATCTTTCCACTATGTGTATGTTAGCTATGTATCAGCTAGACTGTAGTTCTTTGCTAAAATGGACCTCTGTTACAATTACCTTTCCTTATCTTCTTTGATGAGTCTGTTCAAGTATGACTGCAGTTCAATCTCTTGCTTTATTCTTTTCTCCTCAATCACGTTCCACCTTCTTTTCTTTGCCACACGAAGAGCATTGGTGATGTCATCCCCAAAATTTAACTTTTGCTCTTTTGCCAATTCATGAGCTGAAATGAAGTAATTTTGTAGAAAATAGAAGGGGAAGAAAACATGTATTTAACACTGAATTTCACAGGTGGTAAGAAAAAGCATTTTCATTCAGTCCAAGAGGTAAACAAATCAAAGTATTCTGATTTTCGTCAGAGCTTACAATTTAATTACATTTTTTTAAAAATTCGTTAACATTCCAAACAAACTAACAACTACAATGAAAATTTTAAATTCACAGTCTGCCTGCAGACCACTGAACATCGAAAATAATTCAAAGTTGTCTTCCAAACTGCTTTTTACTTTAATATTCACAGTACACTAACAAATATTATAAGATAGGAAATAAAAAGGTATTCTAATTGATGCTTCTTTGACATGATATTTAAAAACAATGGAAAAAAACCAAGGTTTTTAAAAAGAATATCACCTACTTTAAAAATATTTAAAAATTAAAAACAAAACACAAGACAATTTTCAACCTTTTTTCAAAGCAGCAATAGCTTCATCATACAAACTCTGTTCCACAAAAGCTTGACCCATGAAAAAGTGACCTTTGACCCAAGACCTGTCTAGATCCAGAGCTCTCTGACAGTCCTGATGCACCCTCTCCCATTGCCTCAATTTTAAGTGGCACAGGGCACGGTTTGTAAAAAATGGGGCTGTGTTTGGGTTCTTTATCTGTGTACAAAAAACAAACATGTCCAAGTTAAAAGTGACAGGAAAGCAAATTGAAACAATAACCGTCAATTCGTCCTCGGAAAAAAAGACATACATGTATACTTACTTTTACTTTTTCATCCTCTGTAGCCGTTAAGCGTCGAGGGAAGATGCAGTTTTCTATAGTAGGCCAGCTCCGCAGCTCTTTCAGTTGTAATGTTGTTTTCTTAGTGTTTCCTTGATACCCTCGATCCACCTTTTGCGCAGCCTTCCTCTTCCTTTATAGCCTGAGGGCTTGGTGTTGTAGGCTTTCGAGGCTGGCTGGTCAGGTGACATGCGTAACAGGAGGCCAAACCCTTTTATCCTCTGTCTTTCTATGTAACACAGGCAGGACTCAGAGCTGATAGCTGCTCTTACATCTTCATTTCTCTGCCTGTCTCGTCTTGTGATGTTAAGAGTTTAGCGGAGACATTTCATTTCGCATGCAGTGATTTTGCTTTTCATGGGTTTTGCTAAAAGTCCATGTCTGGCACTGATAACATAATGTTGGTATGAATATTGAGGTGATAAGCTGTTTATTTGTGTCCATGGAGATGTTTGGATGAGATAGGAGGGGAGCGAGCTGGCAGGTGACAACCTTGGCTTTTTGCGTTCGCATTTCTATTTCTCTGTCTATGGACCCGTTTTCAGAAAAAATGCTGCCAAGATATTTAAACTCCTTCACCTGTTTCAGTTGTTTACTATTGACATGGATGTTCAAGGGACTATAGTTTCGGCTCACTTTCAGAACTTCTGTTTTTGATGTGCTTATTTTCATGTTGAATTTCTCAAAGGCGTTGTTGAGTTCAGAAGTGTGATTTTGGAGGCTTTGTTGGTCATGATGAATAAGACATTGGTCGTTCATGAACAGAAATTCATTTAGGCTTTCTGGGCTTTGGTTTGCGTCTTTCGTTATTGTGTCCATATATATTATAAACACGAGGGGAGATAGAACGCATCCCTGTCGTACTCCAGATCTTACTTTGAACTAGTCTGTATTGCCCTCCTTCGTTCTTACTGAGCTTCTGCTGTTGGTATATATAGAGCTCTGACATTATCCAACATTTGTCCTCTGACGCCATACTTTTCGAGTGTCTTCCAGAGTTTTGCATGTTTTACTCTGTCAAAAGCCATCTCCTGGTCTATAAAGATGATGTTGGATTCTTTGTTGTGTTCGATTGTTTTCTCGTACCTGTTGTAATGCGGATACAGCATCCGTGCATCCTCTTCCCTTTCGGAATCCAAACTGAGCTTTGCTCAGATTTCTCTCTACAATAGGTCTTATGTGCTGCTCTAGTATCTTTGCGTACATTTTTCTTGAGTGGCTTAACAATGAGATGCCTCTGTATGTTGTGCAGTCATGTTTGTTGCCGTTTTTTCCCCCCACAATGGTACCACTATGGCTTTCTGCCAGTCTTCTGCGCATTTTCTTTGCTCCCAGGCTCTGTTGAAAATTCGCCTCAGCCACAGTATACCGGTGTTTCCACAAGCTCTTATGGCTTCCACTGTGATGTCATCAGGTCCGGGGGCTTTGTTCTTGGGGCTGGTCTTGAGCGCCTTTTCTATTTCACGAGGAAGTATTGGTGGCTCTGATTGATCTCCATATGATGGTTGGAACTCTTCTTGTTGTTCGTGGCAAGCGTCTGGGTAGAGTAGTTCTTGGAAGTAATTTTCCCATCTTTTCTTAATTGCATGTTTGCCGAGAATGGCATTCCCTCTTTGTAGTTTATAATGCATGTCGGGTTGTAAGGGTCTTTCCTTACCCGCATGCTTTTCACACATTTATAAAATTCTCTTGGGCTTTCCTTGCAGATTTTGGTCAGTTTCTCACCATACATTTTCTTTAGCAGTTTTGATGATTCTTTTGGTCTCTCTTCTCGCTTTCCTGTATTCTATATTATAGTCTTCTTCAGTCTTTGACTCCTGCCATTTCTTGAATTTCTTCCTTTTCATTCTAATTGCTTTTTTGGTTTCATCATTCCACCAGCATGTTGTTCTGCCTTTGTTTCCACCTATTTGTTTGGTGCCACAGCTGTTTTTCAGTATTTCTGACTGACAGGGATTTTTTGAATATTTGTCATTCGTCTTCTATGTCTTTGATCTCAGCTGACAGTTTGTAATACTCCTTGGTAATGTCATCCTCGACTGCTTTCTTGATGTCTGGTTCTCCCAATTTTCTTCGGTTAGTTGTGGATTTTCCCCTGTTGTTCTTTTGTTTGCTTTACTTTATTGGTTGTGAGAATTAGTATCACAGGTCTATGGTCCGTGTCGATGATGCAGTTTGGAACCACTCTCGAATCTTTGGCTGTATGTCTTTGTTTTCTGCGCATCAGGATGAAATCAATTTGTGATGCATGGTTCAGGTCACTCTATTTGTATCAGGTCTTGATTTGGCTTTGTCAAATTTGGAAAAATGTGTTCATAATCATCATGTCGTGCTCAGCGCAGAGGTTTATGTGATGAGATGATAAGTGCTATCAAATCCTAGATTCTACTCGTTAGTCTTTCTATGTTATTATCAATACTCACTGTTTCAAGCGGGGAACAATGTGTGTGGGTCTTACAGGTCCGGAGCTCTATCCACTGCGTTGACCCACCAGTAGCGTCGATCCTTGCTCAGCCTAGACTTAAGTCGTGGCTCGGAAGGCCTGTTCAACCTTCGCGTCTGTTTATATACCCCCCGTGCTCCCTTATTCTTGTACACTTACTAGGCTACACTGAGTTTGTTCACTTATCTCATGTGCTTGGGGCTTGTCTGGTAATCACAGCGAATCAGACCACAGTTTAGTATCATTTCCCCATCGCTGTTGCAGTCTGTATCTTTATCGCTGTGGGGTCCCAAGTACTTTTCTCAGGGGGTTCTTCTTCGTCCAACTCTGCCATTTAAATCTCCCAAGATAAATATATCTTCTTTGTTCTTGATGGTGTTAATATGGTCACTCATGTCTTGGAAATATGATACATGTATGTAGGAACAAAAAAAAAGACAGTGAAAGAAATTACCTACAACCGGCATCTTTTACTACTGGCAAAACAAAACACAAATTCAGCTCAAGAAGATGAAAAAGAAAACCCATGCATAAATCACTATCTTTTGGTTTATAATTTACTTTCAGAGAAAGAATTTTTTTTTCGTGCTATGTTGCAACTATATCGTACAGTGTAAAAACATGAACCTATAGAAAGCACTTAGCACACCTCTGTGATTGGCCCAAATCTTCTGGGGTTTCCCTCGCGAGTTGACAAGAAAACTAAGGAATATATACGATAATTTGATTGAAGACTGCATTTTTTCTCCAAATAACATGGATCATAATGAAGGTGAGAAGTGTAAATATAAGTATGACATATAAACTGGAAAGGGTGTTTATCTAAATATGTACCTACATACCTATCTTTGCTGCGTGTGTGTGTTTGAGTGTGTATGTTTTTAAGTGTGAGTGTGTTTATGCATGTGTGTATCTACCAGCGTGCCTGTGTGTGCGTGTGAATCTTCCCATTTCTTGGTTCCTGTGCGTGTGTTTATGTGTGTATGTGGATGTATGTTTGTCTATGTATGTGCTTGAGAATATGATATTATGTACTAAGAGTGTCTGGAACGGCTGAGCAATACCAAAATGTACTCCAGTTGTATATTTGTTACACAAAATGGCAATAAAGTTCATTATTAATTATTATTATTATGATGATGAACCAATAATGATACAGGGTAATAGTGATACATCTAGTCAACTCGAGAGGGAAACCCCAGAAGACGACAAAAATAGGTGGCGGGAAAACGTCATCTATATTTGGGCCAATCACAGAGGTTTGCTAAGTGCTCTCTGTAGCTTCATGCAATGTAAAATTCATATTTGAGGAAAGACAACAAAAAATATTATTAAGAGTGCATATATATATAAATAAAAAATGAGATGTTAAATGAACATGCTGTTGCATGTATTAAGATTTGTTTCATGAGAAAAACTTCAGTTGAAAAGTTTGTAATCTAAACAATCGCTGTCTCAATTCAATCCTAGATGATGTTTTTTTTCAAAGTCCCAGTGGTGGAACCAGGGGGTGAAAAAAACCCCCTGAACTTCTTAAACTTTCAAATGCAGACATCCAAAGCGATCATACACCCAATAGAAATGTCCATTTGAATATCTGGCTTGTTATTTCATACACTTCACAGGCAATAGTCACTCCCGAAAACGAATCTTTTCTTGACTGCACATGTCAATTAATGCCCTTCTATTCCAATGAATACTAATAAAGGGTGATAGATCTTGTCAACTCGGAAGGGAAACCCCAGAAGACGATAAAAATAGATTAGGGAGATATGTCACAGAGGTGTGCTAGGTGCTCTCTATAGCTTCATGTGATTTTAAACCTTGTGGTGCATCCCACAAATGAATCAAGAAAGGAAAACAGAGCATTTAGGGGCAGTAGTAATAATAATATAGAGCTTCCCTACTCAACCACATGATGCATCTAGATTAGATTTAAGTAATTTCTTCAACTCATGTTTTCTAGCACACGAAACATGATGAGACATGATGACAGGTGTCACAAGGAGGACTGCCTTTACTTTAACTTGACTTAGATTCAATCAAGTGACAAGTGTCTTTTCCTAATTTTAATAGAAGTGGTTATGTGTGTGGCTATGCGTATGGCCCTCCACTTCACATAAAAAGTAGAGTGTAAACACGGCCTCGCGGGCACTCGCGGCCTTCCGACCGTGTGGTATCGGTAAAATCGAGGTAATTCCGATCGCTGTTCCTTTGCTCTTTCGATATAAAACACCAAATGCCATACACCTTGTAAAAGTTCAGCTTTTCTTCATTACAATGGTGTAAGTTGTCTATGTGTCCGATTATTAGGAGCTGGAGAATCGTCGACGAAAGCGAAGCCCCTCGCTGTCGGAATGCGTGGTCGGCCGGTTCAAAAATTGACATGTGTGCATTCAAATGCTTCGCGGAACGAGGGATGATTAAATACCG